CCCCTAACTCATTTTTTTCATATTTTTTTTCTAGTCTGTATTTATTTAACCCTGAATGCGGCAACATTACATTTTTACTATTGATACTGCTATATTGGTAGGCCCATCATTATCATCATGGTCATCATCATTTTTATCAATAATATTATTATTATTCTGAATGTGTTCATTTTATTCGGGATTACAAAATATATTCTAGCAGTGAATTTGTGTGGCATGCTTCTATGCTTCTTTTTTGTCTCTTCTCTTCGTCTCAGTGTCGCTCTTCACCTCACAGGCCTACAAAGTAAGTTAGCAAAGCAAATGTAGACAGAGATTAATTACAAATAGCGCATTTCATAGACAGCACAGGCCACCAAAATCATGGCATGTACCATATAAAGTGAGCGACTTATAACAAAGAGCACGTCAATTTCATTACATGATATTGGACCATTGTCCTGATCGTATACAGTATCCAAAATTACTTGTAAAAAGTATGAGGGTGACATACAACAATGACCTGGTATCAGGTTTGCACAATTAAATGGTTAAGAATCAGGCTCTCACCGACTAATCGGGCATTCGAACCTTCACTATGAAGTCCATTCGTGTCCTTCTTGACGGCAATGTACCTACGGCTGTCTCACTACACTGAAAGGGGGGGGGGGGTAGATTCGGAAACGACAAACCATTTTCTGCCTAGGACAAATATTCGCGGCCCGCCTGTCCCCAGTGTGTGATTGAAAGCTTAAAATTAGGTTTGACTGACAAGCCTTGATGAAGAGTACAGTAGTTGAACACCACAGACTTAAACTGCCTTTTGTTATAATTCTGAAATATATATTTTAGAAGTGAATAATTGATTAGGTTGTGATTACAAAAATAAACATTATAGATCTAGCCTGGCCTCTTTTTTTAAGATTGTCATTCAGTCACTCGTAGTTGTACGAATGAAATTTGTTTACTTGACGTAAATGCACAAGTACAGTATAAGTAGCAATAGGCCTAATAATCAGTGGTGGCGCCAGAGGGGGGGCGGCTGGGTGCTATAGCCCCCCCCCCCCGTCGGGGAAGCATAGCCCCCCCGTCGGGGAAGGCGATACATTTTGTCGGGGAACAAACAAATTAAAAAAAATATTTACATGTAATATTCGTTTAGCCACCATATTGTTTGTGTTAACTTTTCATCACAAAAACAACAATAACAACAATAATAATAATAATAATAATAATAATAATAATAATAATAATAATAATAATAATAATTTTCAGATTATAGACAGATTTCATGCAAAATTTCAAAAATATAGAATTTCACTTTCAAGAATGATGATTTGAAAATAAGTTGGTTACATTGCATACTCTTTGTTTCTTGCTTTATTCAAAATGTTTTGGTTTTGGAAGCTGATTTCAACATTAGAGAGCATAGCCTACATGAAGTCATATTATAGTAACTCGATGCCTATCAAGTAAGTAATAAAAATTCGCTATAATTCATCAAATATCCGTGGCTTCCAGGGGGCGAATCCCCCTGGACCCCCGGCGGGGGGCCCTAGGCGGCCCCCTGGCCCCCAGCCAAGTGAGACTCGATTCGTTCCACTAGCCCCCGTCGGGGCATTTAGCCCCTCCGTCAGGCAGGTCCTGGCGCCACCACTGCTAATAATTATCATGATGATGATAATGGTGACGATAATTATGACACGAATAAACTATAATATATTTGATTTCAGGTAACCAATGGTACTTGTTTTCTATATAGGAAGATACAAAAACGTATCGTAATTTATGACAACTAATTATAATGTTGTTTTATCATTTCTCATTGTACTGTACTCTGTGTATCTTCATGATTACATTATTCATGAATACATTATCCATGAAGCGACGATGACGCTACAATTACCGTTTATTATAAATAAACTCAATGATAAAATGCATTTAACGTAAACACAATAAAACAATAAAACTACTATGGTATACACTAAAGACCACCTACATTATTACTATCATTATGATAACAATAACTATTATGATTTTTATTGCTATTATCCTTATGTTGATATGTGTAGGCTTAAACTTGAGATTATTATTATTATTGGCTTTTCACAGCAGTACTGGCAAAAGCCATTGTTTTTGTTCTGATTTTTTTTTCTTGCATATATTTTTCTCATTTGTTTGCACAGAAATGTTTATGTGTTAGTGAGGATCAAGTGAAGGGTGTAGATTTGAGGGTCTTTTCAATTTTTGAGGACCCAGACCTAAATATTTCTTTTTAAAAATCCAATGGGTCTAAATGAAACATTCTATAATACTTCTATAAGGTCTTGTAAAAAAATAATTAAATTGTTGTGATGATCCGCAGTATGGTGTGGATCTGAGGACCCTTGAAAGGAAAACGTCCCAGACAAAATATTTCGAAAACGGATCTGAATGAAACATTCGGAAAGGTTTAACCAAGTTACAAGGAAGATAGTATTATGTGTTGGCGACGAATCAGTCAAGGGTGTACATTGGAGGGTCATTTAAATTTTTAGATCTCAGACATCAAGGTAAACAAATTTCATTTCGTACAAGTTGTACGTATGAGTGACAGTACATTCCTAACAAAGGCCTTCAGTATTTTGTAGATGATACCTAATTATTATTTATTTTATGTTCTTTTATGATAAAAAAAAAGAAGGGGGTTCAAGTCTGTTTAACCTCATACTCATCGTAATAAGGTCTACTACAGTACGGCTTGTCGGTTTATGTTTTCCACTAATAAGGTAGTCGCTCGAGCTTTGGATATCGCATTTAAACCCTCGACAGCAGCAGGAAAATCTTTAAATATCCATGAGATTATTGCTGACTCAGGGGGAGGCGTTATATTGAATCTATAGCCCTAGGAATCGTCACTGTCTCAAACGTCCCGGAAAAAAACATTCATGGGCGGTGGTATCCCAGTATTACAGTACGTTGCAATACACATTCTCCTGATGATGACATAATTAATGTCGAAATATTGAATCCCAACACGATGGCGTGTATTTGACTTGGAGTATGTATTATACTTTCTTATACACACTCTCAGTTTGTGCATTGAGCTTCCATTTCCAAGTAGGCTATGTATAACCGATATTCCATTTTGGTGTATTCAAGCGTTTCTTCCTTTCTTCTTCGGTTCTTTGATGCTTTGCTTTACGTTTGGATTTTTTTATTATGTATTATAATCGAATATTTGCTTGTTTGATCGCCCATTCATTTATCAACCCCCTTTTGATTTAATAAAACATTGTGATGACATTGGCCAGTCGACTCGCTCCGCCCACCATAAACATAATTTTGTCAACGTGTAACATATTTACTTGGCCTGATACTACAGTAATCGAATATCAGTTTTTCGGTTCCCCAACTATTGTGCGGGTTACGTACATTTTGTGGATTGCAGATATTTCGTCCATTTTGAGTCTCTATCACAGCAGTACATTGGTTGTTTTTTCGGATTCCAAAATATCGCAGTATGAAGCAACCATTAGGCACTTGTAAGTATTATAGGTCTGTTGTTTGATTGAGCATGTTTGACTTACGGTATGTTATCGTTAGTCTGAGATACCTCTTTGGAAAGGCTGAAATCATCAACGTGCTTTTTTTATTTGTTTTCTATTTTAAAAAAATCAGATTAGTAACAAATTCAATCTGGGATGGCTTGTGCTACGTTTGATACAGTACTAGTTTGATATTATGTTATTATTTATATTAACCTATTGCATACATTTTGAAACAATAACAAAAGAATATAACTGGGGCTCAATGTTTTCACAGTTCGCGACGCACATAGACATAATGATGTTGATATAAGAAGACTTTGGAATTGGCCCTCAAGCCTGCGACCTGCTCAAGCCATATTTTGATGTGGGATGTGGTAGTGAATAACATCAACATCACTATGCCCAAAACAACTTTGTGTTGCCCAAATCCAATGTTCGCTGTTTAGATATATAATAGGCCTACTCATAAATCATACATTTTAGATGTTTTATCAAAAAATGGGTGATGTTTGGTAATTAAATCTATTATAATCTATTATTATTATTATTAGGCCTATAGTAAATGTACAAAAATGCCAACAGACACCTCTGATTAACAAACATCAATGTGCTTTCGAAAAATAACAATTTCCCTTATCTATCGGTTGCAGGAAATTATACAATATAGAAAGTACATAAAGATAAAACCTCGTCCTTCGGAAAACATTTAGGAAACAAAGGACACTTATTCCGGAAACACTCGTTTTTTTTATTTTTATGAATGGGACACTTTGGAAATATTTGAGTTCAACCTCTATTCAACCTGAATAATCAAGGCACTTTACATGTGGTTTGCTTTGCCAACTCGGTGTCAGTGTTCATTCCCTCGCTGTGCACTTCGCTTGTGTCCTTTAGCAAGGTACTTTATCTGCGTTGCTTCTCTCCACCGAGGAAAATAAATGAGTACCTGGTGGGGTTGCCTGCTATTGCGCCAATATGGGAGAAGTGGAATCAATGGCCATAGAAAACAAAGCGCTTCGTAAACTGAAGGGAAGGCGCTATATTATACCAAATAACAATAATTATATACCACTTTGTTTCTCCACCTAGAGTGCAATTGGGTAACCTGGATGTTCGAATGCCACTTTACCGTGGAATCCTTTTCCAAAGGAAGCTGAATATGTGGGGCCTGCTTTACATTATTCGCTATTGAAAAACTGTCATTAATATACCAGTAACCGGATGTCTGGGTATGGCGCATTGGAAAAAATGCGTTTGAAAACAAAATCCCTGCACGCAGGAGCTTTCTCTGTTTTTTCCTTGTTTACTCAATTTAGGTGTTAATCAGATTTGTCTGTATCGTCCAGTGATTTGTAGGCTTATTTGCACGTCACTGCATCCAGGAAACTTTAGTGTTACATAGTTTCACCTTTCTCCTCAAAGCTAATATTATAGGCCTGGAAAAATTATGTCGCGTCTGAGTTGTCTTTAGGTAATATATTATAATAACGACGCACTGAAAAATGCTTTTGAAAAAAAATATCTAAGGCAATTGAAATCTATGCACGCAGGTTTTTGTTCGACATTTTAGAATTTGTTTAAAAGTATTTCTCATTTTTGCTGTAACCTTGGGTGATTGTATAAGGCCTATCCCCATCACTGTACTCAGGAAGTTTTTAAGTTTAATACTTGCGTAACTTCCGTAACTATTTTCACAAAGTAAACACTGGAAAATAAGTGGGTCTCAACTGGTATTTTCAAGACTGATTAGAAGATGGTCGGAGTGGTTCCAGTTTGCAAATCTGGTGATCATAGGCCTGGTTATTTCGATACAGACCTACATCATTATGGTCTGATCTGTTGTTGGAAGAACTGTGGCGCAACAACGAATCATTGGGCCCGGGGCGAGGAAATGTTGGAGGCTCCTTGCATATCAGTAAAGTATTTTTACTCACGTTATTGTTATGGCTGTAAAGACTATATAATTATTAGACAATGTCCAAAAATATCGTGTGACTATTTAACAATATAATCAACTAATGTTTTGCACACACATTATTAAGTTGAATATTTGCGTGCAATGTAGGCCTATATATTCAAACATTATTTCAAAAATGGTATAGTTAACATACAATTTGTGTTAAAGTCTTGTGACTAGTTACTTTGCATTTATCAGGACATACATACAATTAAAATAGATTTACCCATGACACCTTATCTTTAGCAATTTCTTCAACGGACAGGTCTATGCATAAATCGTCATTTGTGTACATCCATTGTATTAGCGTGCATATGTTGCATGCTTAATCATTAAGCGTTGCCAATATACGGTAATAAGCATCGACATCAAACAATAATTTAATCAATCGTTATTAGAGGCGGATAGACAGAGAGAGAAGAAAAGAAAGAGTGAGCACGTTATCGTGTTACCGTATGCCTACTCTAAAACCAGCTAATTTTCTATTTAAATTCCATCAGCAGTGGCGAATTCAGTAATTCTAAATAGACAGGGCCCAGGGAGGTACTTATACAGATGGATGACGGTCTAGACCACTCAGCCCCATCATGGTTGGGCTGATGAAAGAAAATTTATGACTATGGCACTTCACGATGTCCGGAAATAGTACTCTTGGACTTAGATTTGAATATAACTTCATTTTTTTCTCCACATATTTTTATAATTTTCAAAAATTTAAGGGGAGGGCGGGCTGGCCGCCGGAAGCCCCTTGAATCCGCCACTGATCAGTTTCTATGGTCTCTAGATTTCTAAACAAAAAATTACCATCGTTCTTTATGATCAATGGATGGTGTTGAGGCCTTTATCACTCCAAATATCCGAATTAGGTCCATATTAGTAGGCCTAGGACTATATACATCAATTTTAACATGTTACCGGTACCTAAATGTACAATGTATAAGTTACATTGATTGAATAATAGGCCTACTATGATGGGTAATCGTGTATTTATTTATTTTTTAATTGCAATGTTTGAGGGCCAAGGCGGATTCTAGGGTGGGTAGGGACGCAGCCGGCCGGGACCCATATATTTTTTTTTGAAAATTAATTAAAAAAATGTACAGTATTGTCAAGTAAGACTGGGTGGGGGGGGGCGTTGCTCGGGGCTCATTTGGACTTGCGTTTCCCCAAAAGTACACAGGCGTTAATAACTGGTCCAATCTAATAAATCTGCCAAAGAGTGTGTGTTTGTGGGATTTTGTTTATTTGTTTTCTGTTTTTTTGTAATTATAAAAACAGTTACCGTACTGTCAAGTAGTCGAATGCTACTTCGGGCTTGGCTGCTATGAGTGAAAAATAAGGGGCCCGATTTTTATGGTGAACCACCAGGTGTGAGTAATTGGATCATTCGAAACAGTAGACCCTGAAGGTGTTAATCCACCTCATAAATATATAATAAATAAAGTGCTAAATGCATTCAAACGTACATTCACCTCACTAGCACTGTGTTGCATTCAGGTGGAGCACTATGCCATTGTTTAATCTGCAGAAAAAATATTCGTGTAATATGTTGTCAAAAATAGGACTAGGCCATACGCCTTCCAATATGTTGTTACTTCAACATATTGAGCTGAGAGTTCTGTAGTTGTGGTGGTGCAAATTGTGCAGTAGGCCTACATCAATATACAATCCCTGCTCTTTTCAGATGGGTGCACAGTGTTCTTTAACATGCACATGAGCCGTTGCATAAGGAATAAACAGATCATTGATGTCTTTGCCTAAGGACTATGCGCTACTCGCATTTTTGCCATCAAGTTGGCAACACAATGCTGACATTAGATGGAATCGACAGAGGAATTGAAGATATAGAAGGGTTCCCATGGCTCAGCGTATACGAAGTGACATCCACTTTAGTCAACTGTTTTAAACTTCCTCTCTGGAAGCTCTATATTGTTTAAGTGATCTGTGGACGAATACGCAGCTTACGGTATATGTTAGTATATAGCTATATTGTTATTTCAATGTTCCATTTGCACTATGTTTCTCTAAAAATAATATCGTTTTAGTTGAATATGCATCAATTAAACTCCGGGCTGATAGGGCTGGACTTATCCAGTTTCACAGAGTGAAGCGGATGTGAGTACGGCATGATGCTCCAATGCTAGTCCGCCACAGGTTACTCCTAGACTCATTGATACAGATGGGTAGACTGAAGCAATGTACATATAGTGCTTTGCTCAAATACACTAGCGAAATGCACAGCAAAGGATTGAAACCTCGACCTTGAGGTTGGGGAGCCAAAACATTTCCACTGCGTCAAACCGCTTTTCTTGTCCATCCAAATTAAATTATTAATATTATCAAGCCAAGAGGAGAGAAATCTCAGTGGGTAAATGTAACATCAGGTGTACCCCATGGATCAGTGTTAGGTCCTCTTTACTAACTATACTAACCAAAGTGATTATTTTATTGGAACAGAAGTTGTTCCTTATGTAAATGAATTCAAATTTCTTGGTGTTTATATAGTAAGTTATCATGTCATACACAAATTAATTATGTGTGTTGTAAAGCCAGAAAGCTTCTTGGATTTATAATCCGATCCAGTAAGAGTATGTCTTGGGTTGCTGTGTTAAACCTGTATAAAGCTTTACTACTACCGATTATAGTATATTGTGCTTCTATGTGGGTACCAGTTGAAAAATCACATTTGAACCGAATCGAAAGTATTCAAAGAAGACCGACAAGAATAATAATGATTAGAAAAGAAGGTTCTTGGGAGACATCATATTCTATAAACTAAAATCTCTTAATATTTTATCTATTAAAGATGCATTTAAAGTTCAAAAACTTGTACTAGGTTTTAAAATTTTAAAAGGTTTTTGTACTTCATTTTCTCAGTATGTAAATAGTAGTCAACGATGTAAGGGTAGACTTATACATTGGAATGCAAAGTTTAATACGGTACTTTTCTTAATTCTGTTTATGTTATATTCCCACACAATGGGAACAATTACCAATAGAAATTCAAAATTATCAATCAATTTCATTATTTAAGTCTGCTCTTACAAAACATCTTCTTTTAATGTATTAATTAACTAATTACAATTTAAATTCTTAGTATCGAAGTTTAAATTTGTTATTTTTATTTTGTGTTCTATGGAGCGAGTACATTGATTGTTTGGGCTTTCGCCTATTCTCGCATTCTGGCTAAATTGTTCTTTTATGCCGAATAAATATTATAAGTTCATTGGTAATACGCCTATGACAAAATACCAGTGACAAAATGAAAGATAATTATTAGAATTATTACTTTTATGTTGAACCAAAAAACGTACAATAGATTACCTGTAACGTTTCATTGGCAGACTGCCAACTTCTTTATGATAGGCAATTGTATGATTGCCCGCTAAATATGTGAGTTTCTATTTTTTCTTTTCTGGTTTTATTATCCAACTCGCTGTAAACTTAACTGAATCATGAGAAGAGACTTAACAGCAATAACAACAAAATTAAGCCTAAAAATTCATGCGAAAAACATCAAAATGACATTTAAAAAAAAAACCAAACCAATAAAAAAAACAAAAAAACAAAAAAACAAAAAAAACAGGCAACAAGATTCCAAGTTAACCCAATAACGATAAAATACATAAAGAATAAAAGAATAAGAATCAAGTTCAAAAAGGGCCAACATTTTCAAAAGGATTAAAAACTATGAACAATAGAAACCCTAACCCAAACACCAACAGCAAACACAACACAAATACAGCAAAAAAAAATCGATGATTAATGTAAAAGGGCTATAACTATAATTTAACTTGCCAACATAATTTAATGTGGAGAACATTTCTCTGCCTATGTCGCAAATGTTACAGTGCCTAAGTCTCTGGTTTCCACTGTAGTACACTCCAACCTTAACCTTTGGTATATGCAAGTTATATAACGGCATAATAATACAGGCCTACACTTTATTTATGATACAATATCAGATTAATGAATTCTGTAGTCATCCTTAAAAAAAAAGATGATGGTATTCGGGTTTTTTTTTTAGCAGTGTACTGTTATCTTGATCTACATAAATAATTTAACAAGAGAACATTTCTCTGCCTTTGTCGCAAACGTTACAGTGTCTAAGTTTAGGTTTGAACATTTATAATGTTAATAACTTATTTTAGCCGTTATATGGTATATAATATTCTATGTTTCATGCATTAAAACAAACTAAATTCGATGAGTTCAGAACGTTAGTAATTCCATAATAAAGTGACGGCATATTTCAGTCAAGAGGAAAGTAAAAATTTCAATTTAATGTTAAAATTTTGTCGATGAAATACTTTTTGTTTTTTTGTTGGGTTGCAATGAGAATCTTGGCATTAATTAATCATTGAAGTAGAACAAATCATTATATCATTGAAATGTGATGAACATGAGCAAAACATTTAAATTATGTATTGGATTAACTTAGATTAACTAGAATTAACTGAAGGCAGCCTGGACCATCACATATTACAGTACGTCTTTAGTACCAATGACTACTTTAGTAAGCAAGGTTTATGGTAATAGACTATCAAGGTGTCTCGTTTTGGCCTAGCTTATACCGGAAGGATGATAGTCTAGAGATGATACACTCGCTTAAGGAAAATTCTACAACAGCCGTTTTCAGACCCAGTCTCAGACCATTCAAATCTGGTTGTGCATATTATATAATGCATAGAGGGCCACATTTGATTACTTGAGCTTTGTGATCAATCATGTACAAGGGCGCTAAACAGAGGAACATTGGGACTATCATTGGAATTTATTGCTGTGAAGCAGCCAATTCATATTCTTGACAGCAATTTGACCTCTGAAAGGTCATTGTTTGTCAAAAAACAAGGGCCTTGTTGATTTAGACACGATTATAAATGAAACTCATGCAACGCAATGCTGCCATACTTTGTATTTTTATTCCAGTGACCTGTGACC